TTGATTACCAAGGAAGGGTTACAGCCAGACCCAGAGAAAGTAAAGGCAGTACAAGAAATGCCGAAGCCTACATCCAGGAAGGAACTGCTGAGTCTCCTAGGATTTGTTAATTATTTGTCAAAGTTCCTCCCAAGGCTGTCAGAGGTTGCTCAGCCACTGAGAGAGATGACCTCAAAGGAAGCAAAGTTCGTCTGGTCTCAGCAACATGAGAGAGCATTCCAGGAAGTGTGAGAGCTTGTAGTCAAACACCCGGTGCTCAAGTATTATGATATACAAGAAGAGGTCACAGTACAATGTGATGTGAGCGAGTATGGGTTAGGTGCAGCGTTACTGCAAAATGGCCAACCAGTCGCTTTTACTTCACAGTCATTATCACAGACTGAGAGACAATACGCTCAAATCGAGAAAGAATGTCTAGCAATTGTCTTCTCCTGCGAGAGGTATAGTCAGTACCTTGCTGGTCGTTAGAAGATAACAGTTGAGTCAGATCAGAAACCCTTAAAGTCCATTTTCCAAAAGGCAATCCTCTCTGCTCCTTGTTGACTGTAAAGGATCCTTGTTGACTATAAAGGATTATGTTAATGTTACAACGCTTTAACATAGAGGTTAAATACAAGCCAGGTGCACAGTTGTATGTTGCAGATCACTTGTCTAGAGCCTCACTAACTGGCAAGAAGGAGATGACAGACAACTTCCAAGTTTTTGCTCTTGAACTTGAAACACTCACTCCATTTGACTCCATCAAAGTGGCTCCATAAAAGTTAACTCAGCTGCAGAAGTGCACATCACAAGACCTTGTCTTAGAGACCCTGAAGACTACTGTTCTGTCAGGATGGCCAGAGAAGACAGGAATGCCCAGTGCCAGTTCGAGACTACTGGAATTACAGAGAGCGCATGTCAGCGCATGATTGTCAGCATGTCAGCGCATGATTGTTCCCAAAGCCATGAGGCCGGAGATGCTCTCAAGAATTCTTTCAAGTCATCAAGGAGTTGCTTTATGCTTAAGGAAGGCTAAAGACATTGTGTTCTGGCCAGGAATAAATTCAGAAATAAAAGACCAAGTCGAGAGATGCTCAACCTGTGCAGAGTTTCAGGCTAGGAATGCTAGTCAGCCCATGCAGGCACATGAAATCCCTACCTTTTCCTGGAGTAAAGTGGCCACAGATTTGTTCACTCTCAGTGGGAAGAATTACATCAGGGTTGTTGACTACTTCTCAGATTTTGTGGAAGTCTCTGAACTTGAGGACACCACCTCATGTGCAGTTATTCAAGTGCTTAAAGAGCAATTCAGTAGACATGGGATCTCGGACACAGTTGTCTCAGATCACAGTTCACAGTACAGCAACCAGGAATTTCATGAGTTTTCACCCAGCTGGGAATTTAACCATGTCACATCCTCGCCATACTACCTGAAGTCGAATGGTAAAGCGGAATCTTCAGTGAAGGCAGTCGAACTACTGTTCAAGAAGGCTGAAGGTGATAGAAAAGATCCTTGGCTAGCTCTATTAGACTACAGGAACACTCCCACCAAAGGCATAGGAGCCAACCTGGCTCAGAGACTTACGTCGTGCTGAACACGAACTCTCTTACCTACAGCGTCAAGGCTTCTCCGTCCCAAAGTTAGTGCACATTCCACAGAGAAATTAGAGTGGAAAAGGCGAAAGGCCAAGTTTTACCATGACCATCGTTCGAAGCAGTTACCTGAGCTGGAGATTGGGCAAGAAGTCAGAATTGCACCCTTGCAAAAGAACCAAACATGGAAACAAGCGACCTGTGTCGAGAAACTCTCAGATAGGTCCTACGTAGTCCAATCAGGCAACAAAACCAGAAGAAACAGGCAGTTCCTGAGACCGGCAGTTGAACCCGCAACATTGGAAAAGCAAAGCACCAATGTTGGTACACCTGCGTCAAGAGAGAATTGCAAGGAGATGCCTAGAGTCCCTGAGTTACCTGCTAAATCTACTGGTCCTGAACAAGGTTCTGTAGATGGATCTGTTGCTGAAGAAACAAAGGCTACATTGTCAGCATCCCAGAACACGACAACCCGGAGTATTTGTCCACCCTTGAGATTTAAAGATTTTGATTTGAGTCGTTAAGCAAAGGCTAGACTTTGAAAACTTTAAGTTGATTTAGCAAGTTTTTTGGTGAGACCAAGTTAGTCTAGACACTGAACACTTTCGTACGGAAACATGTTAATTTATAGTTTATTTCACCAGTTT